GAAAGACCGAATAGATGTCGTTAGTGTCATGTCTTTCCACTGGCCACCATTAATTCTGAGGCGGATCTGGTGAAGCATTGTGGTTACGAGTTTTGAAAGGATTATAAAATTATCTTTGTGAGCTTATCTCCTACATAGATCACTTAAATAGAGAAATTATCCGTCTTCGACAAAGTTGTTACTTCATGAGCTACTTATTTGGCCTCCCCTGAAACGTGTTGTATCCAAAAATGCTCAAACCACTCACTCGCCCGCTCGATATCCTCTATGATATTCATGTATGGAGCTTCGAAACTTGAAGATTCACTAACTGCGGCAATATTACCTCCAACGAGTCACCTTCTACTACATTCTTCTCCAATTATTTGGACTAGCCATTTCGATTTTACTAATCAAATTGATGTTGCATTTATTTCTTCTTCTTCTATACCTCCTCTGAATTAAAAAAAATTACTATACCTGTCCGAAATTACAATAAAACAAAATTTCCATTTAAATTTATGATTTCGTTAAACGTATAAATTATTTTACATTGCAATTTCACTATTTTACTCAATGTTTAATTTGATCCAATCACACCCTTAAATTAGTGGAAGTAGGAACTTCAACCACTCGACCGAAATTCGATTTTACCAGATTCTATTTAATCCATCCACCGGAGTTGAAGTTCGACTTGGCCACATTCGGCATTTTCCAATCTCAGGCACATGTCCTGTATTACTATCCCATTTTTCAAGACAATGGAACTTTCTTTAGACAGGCAATTGGAGCTTGAAGGCAATATTCTTGTGATTGTTGTACCGTTTGGAAGGCCATTTTGATGCACCAAACCGGCTTCTACTAATGGTTTAATATCAATCACTGCATTACCCATCTTGTTATCCATGTTGCTCAACTTGTTGTGGTCTCGCACTGTCTACAACGTAAACTACAGATGTTGCTCAACCATTATACACAAACTATGAATCAGCATATACACATAACATATTTGAAACTACAGATTTTGGATCTACAAAGAAAAATGGTGAGAAATAAATATTGCAAAACTAGTTGCCAAATTTATTTTTATCTTAAATTAGAGAATCTCACCAGAGAAACTGGACGGCTAGGATCTAAAACGTAAATTGTGAGTACCTCATCCCATATAGGATGAACATCATTTGTCACAATACGAGTCTCCACACTCTGCATCATAAATATTTATACTAAATTGCAAATTTGTTTTTGAAAATTTGGACCACAAAATATTTAATGCAAATTTGTTATCCTTTTATATCTAAAAGAATATTATGAAGAGGGTGAAAATAACATTAATGAACAAAAAAAACCATCAAAAAGTAGGAACACGAAACCTGATTGCCCATCGTGATAACAACATAAGGATCTCCACCACCAACAGCAAGATTAATACCTCTCTTCACCCAAATTTTGAGCTCTCCAAATGTAAACTTTTGAACATAAAGAGCATCGTAACCTAGGTTCTCTCGTCGCTCTGATATTTCATTTGCAGAAGCCCAAAGGTCATTGCTGCTATTGTGATCTAAGTTAATTGCTCGAAGTGGTAATATTTCGTCAAAATCCAAAGGGATCTCCTTGAGGTTTAAGTATCCAAGATGTAGTTGCTCTAGACATGGGAAATGTGTATTGTCTGCTTCCCATATCTCCAATTCACACTTGTGAATCCATAGGAACTTCAGTCGAGGGAACTCCCCTTCTTTTGGAATCCACTTTTGCCCTACAGCAGCATTCTTCTGTAACTCGAGATCTTCAAGCTTGGGCAGCGAACCAACAACAGACATATCTTCCCAAGGAATCTTGCATTCACTTAACACCAACACTTTAAGTGAACTTGGGAAGACAATTTCTCCACAGCAACTAGTACCAGTAATTAATTCCAGATTAAGTTGTTCGAGTTTATGGAGAAGTCCAAGATTCCTTAAACAATTAGATCCAATTGTCCCACAAACAATTTCCAACTTCTTCACATTAGCGATTCTATTAATTACCGCTTCAGTGCATTCAAAATCTACTACTGTAGAAAGTGTTTGTAGATTCTCAAGAAGTATAATTTTGTGGACATCATCTGGAGGTGGAGGATCGGGAAGAATAATACTATCTCCCTCAACATGTCGAAGTTGGGGCATCTGCCATATCTCACCTGGCAGAATCAACTCTCCATCAACAACTAATGTTTGTAGGCTCCAAAGTCGGGATATTGAAGACGACATCGACATCGTCGGACACATGCAAGAAACATACCTTGAGTTAATTAGCTGTAGAATCTCATCTTTGGGATATATATCAACTACATCCAATACTCGTAGTAATGGAAACCGACGAGCCGTGTAATCAGTTGAAGCCCCTTTAGAGAAGCATAACAAAGACCGTGTAGGTATCTGTGATGTATATGGCTTATGTTTCGTCCCTTTCCATTTTCCACCATTGATGCTGAGACGTGGTGTGATCTTCATGAAAGTTAAAATATCGGGGTTATAAAGCTTTCTAGCGAACGAGAGAATAAAATTTTCTTTCTGAGCTTCTTTCCTGCATAGGTTACTTAAAACATCATGAATGTTGCAGTCGATCACTTCTCCCATAATTGACCTCAAATCGACCAAAATGAGATTTCGATCAATAAGATCCTCCAAGTACTCCTCTCCAATTTCTTCTAAGCTTTTATGCCCACACTGCCTAACAAATCCTTCAGCAACCCACAACCTGACCAGCCTTTCCGCATTGATGATATGATCTTCAGGAAACACGGCAAAGTAAAGGAAACAAGGCTTTAGATGTATAGGCAAGTTATTATAGCTCAACAATAGTATCTTCATGCAGGACTCATCATCTTGATTGTTTACTGCTGAAGTTACATCTTTTTCAATTGACACCCAATGTTCTTCCGTCTTGGACTTTGCAAGAACCCCAGCAATCACAACAAGGGCTAATGGAAGTCCGTTGCATTTTTTTGCAATACTTTTTCCAGTTCCCTCCAATTCATCGGGGCAACATTCTTCTGCAAATATCTTTTCACGGAGTAAATCCCAACTCTGTGATATATCTAGAAGATTCAGTTGATAAGGGCTACAAGATCCAATATCTACTGCCAACTTCATCAGCCTAGTAGTTACCAAGATTCGACTTCCATTATTATTATCAGGAAGGAACCTTTTTACCATATCACATGCTTTGATATCCCACATGTCATCCATTACTATCAAATACTTCCTCCCAAATAGAGTTTTGTGCAGTCTGTCTCCTATTGCATAATCATCATCATCATCATCGATCTCATGTGCATTTATATATGTATTGTTAATCTGATGCAAAAGGCCTAGGAGAATCTTCTTGTCAGTATATTCCTGGGATACCGTAAACCAAGCACGTAGCTGAAAGTGCTCCACAAAGGGATTGTTAAAAACATTAGAGGCAAGGGTAGTCTTACCTATGCCTCCCATTCCAACAATAGAGATGATCCGAAGATTAGATTCGTTGGTGGAGAGAGCGCCCATAATTTCATCCATGTGGTTGTTGAATCCCACCATGTTGTTTTTGCCACCGGCCGGAAGAAGAGGCCTTGATGAAGAAGAAGAACTAGCTTTTGTTGTTGTTAAGTAGTAGTTATTAGGTCGTTGCATATCTTTCTTGAATTTCACCAACTTTTTCTCAATGAAAAGGAACTCTCGTATTGAAATTTTTACACCTTCATACAAGAGATCGGAGCTTTCTTCTCTATCGGCTGAAGATCTTCCAAGAATTTGGTTCATCACATTGAACTCAACGATATATTCTGCTTCATATGCTGCGACACCGATCATCGTCTCCAAGTCTTCCATCTCTTTGTTGCCTCCACTACTTGTATAATTTTCGAAAAAATCTACCAAAATGTACTCGGCCTTATCTCGTAGAGATTGAATCTGATCTGTATCAAAAATGATATCAAGGGTAGGAGGTGGGTGGAGGAGGATCTGATCAAGAGTATGAGTGAGAGAAACTAAAGCTGCATAAGCTACAGCCATCTTTTTTCGATAAACAATTTTTTCGATTAGCAGATTATGCTAAAAGAAAATTTGGTGATTTCTTGGACACAAACAAGAAGAGCAAAGTCAAAATGGTAATTAAGGTGGAATGATTAAATGTGGTGTGAATTAAGTTGTCTAATTAGCGACTTAGTCAGCAATTGGCATTTGATAACAATAAGGTCTTCATCATAAACACCTACCAATATGCCCTTTCAGACATTTTAAAATACATACACACTGCACACACATATTATTAATGTTTGTACATGTGAAAGAGCCGTGTTTATAGCAATCAGCACGAGATGTATCTGCTACAAATGAAAAGTCAAACAAATATGTTTGTCGGGTTAGCTTGCAAATTGCAATATATCTTCAATATTATTGTAATTTGGAGAGATTGATGATTTGCACGAATATAAAAGTTGGTTTTCTAACTTTTCAATAATTACATCGGAATTTGAAAATATTGAGCTTAACTTTTGTTTGTAGCAACTGCTACAACTTTGTGTTTATTTTTCAATATGTTTCCTTTTATTTTTCATTTCCTCCCCGTCGGGACCAAATGTAGCGTCTACGACGCTAAATATGTATCCCAATGTGTCTGTTAACTATCAATGCTTGATCTAATTGTGGTATTTTGAGGCTTTTCCCTGTGCGGTCGAAGGTCAGAATCTCTTCGAATGAGTATACAATAGAACCTCGATAAATTAAAAAATCCTGATTAAATAATAGTTTATCTCGGTCCCGACTGGGTGAAAACGTGTTTAATTATTAACTCAATAATTTAATAATTCGCTAAATTAATAGAAATTTCCTAGTCCAAACTGTATTAATTTATAGAGGTTTAACTGTATTGTAATGGCCAATTACAAGACCATTTCTTTTTTTTTTTCGTTTTGAAAAGAGAAGATGCAATTGCCTGATATAAAGCTACTAGAAAAAGGGAAAAAAAAAAAGAAAAAGAAAAAAGAAAAAAGAAAAAAAAAAAAAAAAGGAATGGATTCAAAGGCGTTTTCCCCTTGTAACACGCCCAGTAACTCTTGATGTTATGTGCAATTGTTAATAGTATCTAACGCATAAAATATCGATCCAATGTAACAGTATTTGCATGATGCAAATACTAACGTAAAAAAACCAGAGTCGCGAACATATCTGACTGCTTATGTTGTCTCCCCAAGCATCTAATATAACTCTGATCACGAAAACGAGAATTATCATATATTTATAGAAAAAATAGAATTGTGAGTTTCGAGAACCAGTTATTGGTCCATTTTGTTGGGATCCGACTTAATAAGATAGTTACCTTGTTGAAGTATCTCTCACATTGTGCGGACCAGTTCCAACGGTACACTTTCCATTGCCACCTAAATTTGAAGAACAAGGACATAAATGAATACAGTTGAACCTCTATAAATTAATACAGTCGGGACTAGGGAAATTCTATTAATTTAGCGAATTATTAAATTATCGAGTTAATAATTTGACACGTTATCACCCAGTCGGGACCGAGAGAAACTATTATTTAATCAAGGTTATTAATTTATCGAGTATTAATTTATCGAGGCTCTATTGTATACGCATTCTCAAAAATAAAGCACAGGATGCAGTTGCTAATGCCAATAAATATAAAAGTTCGGTACCTACCCATGATTTTGGAGCTTTTGGGTCGGCGACTTTCTTGTGTTTCTTAGATTGATCCAACAGGAAAGTAATTACGATGCTGACCTTGAACTCAATCGAAAATGGACTGCAAAGGAGGAGTTCACATAGTAAGTACAAATTGACATACGTAGTTATGGTTAGATAGTTAATACAAAATGCAAATTAGTTGAACATCCAATAGTCTACTACCTTAAATTATTCGAGATTGTTTTACACTCACGGTTGAAGCATGCATACATTCTATAATTAGCATTTCGAGTGCGCAAATAAGAGACAAATACCAAAAAAGGGTACAATCGTAAAATCGAACACCTACCCAGCGAAAATTGTTGGACAAGTCAACAGACGAGGAAGAATGATGTAAATGGGCAGAGTCAAGCCACGACAAACATCTCCATCTGCTATCTAAAAAGAGAAACAACCTTTAATGACAGCTCATCAACCAATATCTAGACTTCAAAAGTAATCGAGGAAAAGGGTAAATGCCTGAGTAGTTTGCATCAAAGTAGATTCTGTTGATATCCTATCTCCAATCAAAATTGATTCGACTCGAAGCAAGTGGATGTCAGTGGATTGAATAGGAATTGCTGATTTTTCGACGGTTAACTCTCCAACAAGAGGATCCACTAATGAACATTGAGTGCATATTTTCCCCGTAACACGGAAACCACCTATTCAGATTAATCAATGTGATTAGGCTTTCACTTTATCATCACGTCATATGAAAGCCATGTGATATGAAAATTAAACTCAAAGATAGGAAATAAATGACTAAGAACCCGAACCTGATTTAAGTTCAGGAAGTAATGCATGCTTTTGGGTATCCTGCGTAATATAAAATATGACCGTTTCTGGAGAAACGGGTTTCTGTGGAAGATTGTCTGAAAATGTAACAGAAAAAAGAGTCAACACCTACGCATACGTGCCAACATAGCTTATGTCCATGTATACAGAGTGAATTCGTGCTTACCTTTTTCACTTTCAACAATGAATTCTGTTGTTGCGGACAAGGATTTGTGCAAGTATCCTCTCACTACATCTACAGTTATAAGATACTATGATGGCATTTATTAAATTTGAGCGAATGAATTTTTATATGTTAATAAAAGAATAATACCACAGCAGGTACAAAGAAATAATTACCTGGATGCTGATATTGCCTCCATGGAAGGTTTCGTAAAACTTTTCCAGATTCTCTTCCTTCGGGTCTTTTAGGATCACAGAAAATGGTATCTAGTAGAAAGATAAACACGCATTAAATATTAACAAGATTTGTCAGGATATTGTGTTTTACCGAGAATAATATACGAAAGCTAGTTAGAAAATAATAATCATTGCATTAGTGAATAATCATTGCATTAGCTCAAGACACATCATCAACTACTGATACTAATTTTCTAATGAAGCTAATTTCCAAAATCAAATCGTCTACAATTCAGTAAGGCAACATGAGATTTCACGGACTCCGCTGTACTGATTCTATGTCCAAACATATTATACTTTTAATTTTTATCCAAGCTACGAAGTTAATTAAAGTACTATTTGCATCGTGACACATAGACAAGGGGGAAAAAGAAGTCTTTTGACAGACCAGAAATGCTTTAATATCACGCCAACATTCTTCAATACCCTTGAATTACATATTTGACTCACATTCACATAAGTTTCTTACTACTTATGTTATTTCATTGTTCTAAGTCTCATCTACAGATTATATCTTGGTTCTCAACTATGAATATGGAAGGTCATAAGTTTGTAGTAACCCAGAATTTCTAATTCTAAATGTCAGTAATTAAATAGTTTGTACATTTTAAGACCCCTTTGGTTTTTTGTTTTTGTTTTTGTTTTCACGTCTACCATCTCTATATCTTTGGAAGGAATTATAAAAAAAAAAAAAAAAAAAAAACAAAACAAAAATCTCAAGCATTCATAACTACACCAATCATCACATTCTCAAACAAATAAAAAACAAGATGGCCTTTCCTTTTCCATTTAGGCTAAACCTATTTGTCATATTTAAACTCGCATCGCTTTCTATCGATTCGCTATAGCTCAAAATACAGCCGTCATAGTTGGGTTGACATAACCCCTTATCCTTTACTGCAGCTTACTTGGTAAGGAGAAAGTTCTTCCATCATTTAAATATTCAAAAGAAAAGATTTATGATATGTCACAGACACTGCTTCTACGGAAGATTTAGCTCACAGCATTAGTGGTTTATCATGTACACATTCAAAAAGAACTTCCAACACCTAGCACAGTACAAATCGAACATCTTAAGCACTAACGTCATACCTCGGTAATACCTGATCCAATCTTTCCAGATGATCTAACATCAACAACCTTCTTCCTGCTCATACATTGTCAAAATCAATTGCAGCAAACATAAAAGAAACTTAATAACGAAGCAAAACGCATTGATCAGCTTATGTTTTATGTTTCTTTTCATCGTTCTTTGCCTACGAAACTAGAGAAAAACTCATCTTCAGATTGAAAATCCAAGTAAAAGGAAAAGTATTGGTGCCCAGCGAACTAAACACCGTCCAAACCATGTAACCTCAAAACCTTTGATTATTTAAGATATTAACTTTAATATCTCAGGGGAGCTCGAAAACTAAAGTAACTACTGACTATAAATCAATGTGTTGGTTCTTTTCGAAGTGAACCACGATAAGTGAATTAAATCCCGACTTACTCCAAAAATGGTTAAATAAAATATAAGAATCCCACAAAATTATTGCCAGACAATAGCTTTAAACAGCATTTCACAGATATAAGCAGACGATGCTTACACAATTGGAATCGGCTTAATGACGCCGTAGAGAGACTCGACAACTCCAGCTGATCCCCCGCGAACCTAAAAATTTCACGGATAATCGCTACATCATTCCTTTAACATTTTTCAATCATTTGTGAATTTAGTAACAATACACAGTCATAAAAAAAAAATTAACAATTAGCTAAAATCGATAACCTTTAGGGGGGGAAAAGGAAAACAGGTAAATATAGAAGGACCTGCAAATTAACAGTGCCATTGACGGTGAGGCGAATTGATTGGTAGGATATTGCAGAAGTTAGCCTCGCGATTAACTTGCCTTCCAGAATTTCCTTTCATTTTTCAACAATCATTCAGCTCACATAAAAGATCAAATACATACATAAGGATGATATTTCAATAAAAGCATTTAGGGAGAGAGAGAGAGAGAGAGAGAGAGAGAACGCACATCGGGGCGATAGATGCGGTTGAATCGAGAGAGTTTGATCTCAATTGACATGACGATGACTATATTGTATTGCTGCTATCATCAGCTCCTTTCCAGAAAAACACTTCAACTCCACTACTTGTATATTTTTAAAACAAGTTAAAATTACTCATTAATAAGAGTCCATTTTACTAAGGGTTTTAGCTGATTAAGCCCATAATTTTTTTGGGGCAATTTGTTATAGATCCAACTAATAAGACTCAATTTTTGGTAAATTTATTATTTTTAAGGGGGTTTTTTGCAAGAACCACCCCGTGTAATCTCTAATTGCTAAAAAAGTCCCCGTGTTAAAAATATTAGCAAGAACCCCCCTATGAAATTTAGTCAAAGCTAATAAAGTCCCTAACAGCTTATCGTACGTCGCACGCGCGGGTTGTGAGACTGGGTTGTATTTTTTCACCGGCAAAAACTTAAATACCCTTTGATAAATTTAAAAAATTACAGACCCACCCCCAAAATTTGAATAAGCCCAAATTAAAGTTTTCCAAATTATCAATTCAGTCCCTCATATTTTATGAAATGCCCTCTTCTTCACTACACCTAAAACCACCACTATAATGTCAAACCCCAGCTCTCCCATGACCCATCTCCGCTACGCAGCCCCCTACCACTTCTCCTGCCGTCTAGGACCGCCCCTTCCACTGTATCCCCGTTTACCTCACCATAACTCTCGACAATACCCTATCACCGCCCGCAAATGCCACCACAAGTAAACCAACATCTCTCTGGTGCTTCCTTCACAACACCTGAGAATCCAAATTCCCAATAGATGGACACAAATCCGAACAAATCGAAGCAAAACTCGCCTCAATAATCCTCCAGCGAAGGGCTTCGGAGATATTTAAATTGGATTTTTTAATTTTTATTTTTTGCCGACTTCTCATCAAGGAGAAATCAAAATCGACGCCGTCACGACGTGATACCGTTAGTGTAGTCGCGCCGGCGCACTGTTGACAGGTAGGAAGAGTTGGGGCAGGTGGGATTGGGGGATGGATGTGGTGGTGCTTTGTCTGGTAAAGAATTTTAGTTGGGTGGGGGGCTACGGGAAGAAGATGGTAGCTGAAATATTATTAAAGAATTAATAGGGGCAGTTTCGTCATTTCCTTGAAGTCAACATCCAAATTTGATAAAAGTGGCTGTGTGCTATATAAAACACATTATAGGGAGATATTTGCTAATTATTTTAACACAAGGTGTTTTATGGCAATTCGAAATTACACAGGGGGTCTATGCTATTAACTCATTTTTAAGGTGTCAAAAGTACCCCAAACAATTTATGAAAAAATAAAGGATTTATTAGGGATAACCTCCTGTTGAGATTTTGTAATGAGGTAGATCCATTTGATTTTTCCTTTTTTGAGATACACCTAATTATGCCAACTTGGCACAATATATTATTTAATTTCCCTATAATACCCCAATTTTATTTTTGGAGTGCAGTTTTTTCCTTATAGACGTGATATGGGATTGCCGATGCGTTGCCTATAATCACGGATGAAAATTACGTGAGTATATTGGTTGTTTCATCGTGTTCATCGTTATCAAATCGTGTACAAAAATCGGCTTCGAAGAATTTTTCACCGGCGTCGTAGTATTTTCGGATCTGAGCGTTTTCATCGTTTTCATCATTACGTGAGTATGAACAGTTTCTGTTCGTTTTTTTTTCGCTGTCATGTGCAAGTGCTGTTGTGTTATAGTGGTTAGCCATTATAAGATTTGCGTTCATATGTTGATTCAATTGGTATTAAAGTAGATCGTTTTGTAAAAAAATTACGTCGTCACATATACATCGTTATTTTTGTCTGATGATGGTTGTCTTGGAGGAGGATTCACGTATTTTCAAGAGTAGAGTTCACGTAGTCTGGCCAGAGTTATTTTATATGAGTGTCGTAGTTGGTTTACGCAGTAATCGAAATAAATGTTTTTGATGTGGTCGTGTTGATGAAGTACTTGAACCCGATTGATAGTTGTTTTGTTTGTTTACATCAGTCGATTTTAACGTATTCGGTAGCACATTGAAATATATTTCGTAGTCTATTTTAAATTATTTGGATTATGCATTTTTTAAGTTCATTTGATGATGTTAATTTTTTGTCATTGAAATGTATTTGGTAGTCTATTTAATCAATTTTTCGTATTCTGCATTTTTTATTTTATTTGATGATTTTAGGTTTATTCCGATGGCTAATTTCGTACGGATTTTGTTGAGGTTTGGTGGGTTGGTTGCTATAAAGAGGTGTTCGAATGGGTTTTCTCGCGGTTCATTGGTTGCATTTGCTATTTCAAAGTGGCCACAACTCGATGGATGGGATATAAGCATGACATATAGGCTGGATGGCATTGGTGAATGTATCTTAGCTGACGACGAGGACATGATATCGATGTTTGAATGTTGTCAGAGCTTTTCTTGGATTGTATTGATGTTAACATTGATGGAAAACCTGTAGGTTTGCCTGGACGGAATGTATTACCTGCAGAGGTTGGTGGCTTCCCTGTTGTGTTGTATGATGAAAGTGTGGTTGTTAATGAACTCAATGTAGAGGGAGTGGTGGAGAAGGTGAAAGGCAGAAGATTACTGAGTGCGGATTGGGCATATTTGATTAAGGATGTAGGTCAGTTTTTTGAAGGCGGCGTTCGTGAGTTCAGAAAGTCGCTTATCAAATACTCTATTGAGATGGGACTTTAATTCTCATATGTTAAGAACGAGACAACGAGAGTTACAGCGGAGTGTCATTTCAAAAATGCTAGCCAATGTTCGTGGAGGATACATGCATCTGTGGATAAATCAAATGATTACTGCTATATTCGGTCGTACAATAAACATCATCAATGTGGAATGTTTTTTGGAACAACTAGTAAGAGAAGATTGAATTCAGTTGTCATCATTGACCTGATTGAAAACGACATACGTGCAATGCCGGCTATAACCCCATGTGAAATTCAGAGCCAAGTGAAGGATAAATTTGGTATTGACATAAGCTATTGGGTTGCGTGGAGGGCTACTGATGCGGGAAGAAAAAGGATTTTTGGGGACGAGACTTCTTCATATTCGTACCTTCCATCTTATTTCGATGAAACGGGGAAGACAAATCCTGGTAGTATCTTTCATCTTGATGTTGAGGTTGAGAAGCAGATTTTCCGACGGTGTTTTTTTGCATTTGCAGCGTGTTTGGATGGATTCAAGTTTTGTCGTCCTGTTGTCATGCGTTGTCATGCTGGATGGCACGTTTTTTAAAGGTAGATACAAGGGAGTGTTGCTTAGTGCAGTGGGTAAAGATGTTGATGAAGGTAATGATCTTACTGCATTGGTCTTTAATAGTATTTTAACAGTTATGTGATAGTTTATTAACTGTCATACGATAGTACAATTGAGTTTCTTTATTAATCTGCATAGTCGATTTATAAAACAGTTACAAATGGTGTAATGAATTTGGTTTAATTTCGTATGTGCAGGTTTGTTTCCTATTGCATTTGCAATTGTAAGTGAGGAAACTGATTCGAATTGGGCTTGGTTTTTGAGTCATTTTAAGGACGCTATTGGAAATGATATGACGCTCAATTTTGTTTCGGATCGCAACCACGGTATCGTTGAGGGTGTTAGGAACATTTTTCCTGACTGTTTGGACACATTGTTACAAACATTTGCAGAACAAATTGAAATACAGGTTTAGGGGTGTTCCAGCGGGCTTTCGTGAGACGGTGTTGCAACAATTTGCGGCATGTGCTTATGCGACAACTAAGGAAGAATTTGATCGATGTATTGACAAGCTGAAGACTACTGGTGGGACGAAAGTTTGCAATTTCTTAGATGATCTTCCCAAAGAGAAGTGGTCTAATGTTTACTGCGAGGGTCATAGGTATGGACAGATGACTTCTAATGGATGTGAGTCGTGGAATCGTCAAATAAAGAAGCAACGTCACTTGCCGATAACTAGTCTGATTGATGGCATAAGGTTGTTGTTAATGACGCAACTGTGTAAAAGGCTATGTGATGGCAATAAATGGACGACTGTGTTGTGTGAAAAGACCGAGAAGAGATCGAAGGAGGCTGTTGACAAGGGGCGATCATGGATATGCAAAAGATCGTCTATGCAGGTCTTCGAAGTTTTTTCGTCGCCAAATGATGTTGTTGATCTTGGAGAAAGGACCTGCTCTTGTAGGTTATGGAAAATCAATGGGTTTCCATGCGCACATCCTGCTGCTGTTATCTTCGTTGAACTTCGTTGCGGACTTGCTGCGTATGATTATATTGATAGATGGTACCATAGATCAACATTCAAGGAGAGTTATTCGGGTTCAATTATACCATTTGTGAGACAAGTTTCAGATCTTGATGTTGCTGTAATTGGACCACCTGAAGTTAAACCAACACGTGGTTGCCCAAAGAGGAAAAGGATTCCATCGCAGGGTGAGTGTGTCCCCCAGAAAATGACTTGTAATCGTTGCAAAGCCCAAGGAAATCACAACAAGAAGACTTGTAGGAAGTGATTGTTATAATTTACGTTTTTCCATTACTTATTTAAGGTTGATGTTTTATGCTTAAAATGATTCTATTTTTGTTTTCGGGCAATTATCGACGGGGATGATGGTGGTGTCTCGAACAGTGACAATTGTCGTAGTTCGAGGCACATGATGATTTTTTATGATCAAATAGGCTGCAACATGTGTTGGTTTTGTTTGTATGTCGAGAATAATGGGTCGCCCCAAGTTCGTAATAATAATGAAGGTATTGTTTCTGGTGATGCTAGAACAGGGGGTGGGGGTGAACTAGTTAGAGCCGTTGACACCACTGGAAGCGAGGAATTGAATGCAGGCATTGCGCAGTTGTCCGACGAAGAAATGGATTGCATTCCTGATGATAGCGACGAGGACATAAACTCAATGAATTCAATTGATTCCGATGGTTGTTATTTTCCAAACCCCCCTAAGAATTGATATGTTTAATTAATGTCGTGTTTATGATGTAATGGCATTGTAACTTTAGTTGGGTGTTAAACGTTGTAATACATTAGTTTACTATTATGAATACCGTATGATACTACTATTACCATTTTATTATACTATTATGAGATTATTAATGTACTAGACTGTTTTTAACTCGACATATTGGTTTGAATGTGTTATGATGTGTTTAATTATTTTATTGGTCATGTTCGAATTACTTTACGTTGGTTTTGTTCCAACGTTCTTGTCATTTTAATTCGACATATTGGTTTGTACTATTTTAGTGATATATTGTTTGTAACACAATTTCATACTACTACTACAACCGTAATATACTATCATAGCAGATTAATGTACTATATTGAAATCATTAATGTACTATATTGAAATCATTAATGTACTATGTGGTTGAATAATACAGGCGACTGTTATATGAAATTTTTATGTATAATAATGTCAAATCATAATCGTGATGAGATTATTTCATCGATTGAAGTAATATGCTATTCATCACATGTTTGTTTTTTGTGTGGTTGAAAGTAGTGCAGACAATTCAGTGATATAGGATGTACAATTCACTACTATATATATTTGAGTACCATATTAGACCACTATTATTATCAACATAATATACTATTACCATGTATGTAATATACTATGTGTTCAAAATTTCATAGAGATAGCATACAGGAAACACAGATATTGAATTTAGTCATAAAATTCCTGACAATAAGTTAATACTGAAAACATCATATTTCACATAATATTCAAAAATAAGTTTTGTGAATGTAAAACTACACTGAAATGTGTGTCATACAGAAAACTTGTTGATACCACATTATCAGAATGTTGACTGGGCTATGCATCATACTCTTTGTTACCCCTTCCAAGAAAGTCTCTACAATCTCTTTGCGCATATTATTAGTCAAATCATAACTTGCGCTGCTCAGGTCGATTGGTTGTTGACGAAAAATTTGCTTTATGCAGTAGAGAACATGGACACCACAGTCTAAAATAATTTTAGACTTACAAGTGTGGAGATTTCCCCGTGCGTAATGTTCTGCACCAAATCCTTGATACACACAAATTTGCTGCCATTTGAGCTTGTCCATACTTTTGTGCTTTGGTTAAATGAATGTAAATAAAATGTGTTAGTGGAGGGAATTTTTTTTAAATTGTATTACAAAATATGGTTAAATGAAACTTATTATTCCTTGTTCGCAGCAGCCTCCACAGTGATGTCCAGTAGAGCCCTGTTATTGTCTGACATGTTCCGATAGTTCTTGAGTTTTCTGTACCTGATCTTTACAACCTTGGAAACTGTTGTTGGTGTTACAGCAGGATGTTTAGACCGTGTTCTCTCAGATATGGGGAGGATTTTTTCCTTGCCCTCGTCATGTTCTGTGTTGTCATGTGGTAAGATTAATTTGTCATCAGATTTGTCCAATGTGCCCACACGACTTTCATTGTTTGTGCCTTTGCTGTTGGAGTCCTCGAGCCCCCCATCAATCTCGAAGGATTCATTCAGTTGATCAGCTGAAATGACACGAGAATTGCTAGAATTTTTTGTACAGGATATTGTGTGTTTCAGCTGCTTAATTAGCTCGCTTTGGTCGAATATCGTCTGACTCTTCTCCTTATTGATGTATTTTAGCAATGTTACATCAGTTATGAGATCGACGAGCTGTATCTCAGTCTCGTCAACGTACGTCAGTGGCAAAGGATCATCGTGTTCTTCTGATGTTTCATTATTGTCGGTTTGCGTTTGTGACAGCAACCGGAAAAATGGCATACTGTCTTCTGTGGGAGCTTTTGAAGTCGAGCCTGTCATCATGGAAGTGGTTGACTTAGCAGCAGATTCGTGCAATTTGGTATCAGGTACGTCACTCGAGTCTGGAAGCCCTTTACTGGATAGTTTGCGGCTGTTGTTGTCAGCTGTCAGGGCCTCTACATGTAGCTTCAACAATGTTGTTGTTGCTTCTAAGTCTTCGTAAGATTGTTTCATAACAGTTAGTTGTTCTTCGAGTGCAGCGCAACGTAGTGTTTCGGCAGTTAACTTGTCTTTTGTAGTTTGGTCTCTGGGTTGGGCCGACGCCCCATGACTCACTTCTGCGGCTGGTGCGTATTTGGCCAAGAGGTATTCAAGATGTTTGTTCTTCTCTCTCAGTATATGGGATTCGGTCTCGTACTGAAGTGCAAGCTTGGAAAGACGACGATTTTTTGACGACTTCTCACGTAATTTCTTCATGAATGTTTCTGGGACATTGATACTTTGAGTATTGTCGCCTGTTTCAGAACTGGTGCATGTGTCATCGGTTTTGCCTTTCTTGTGTTCCTTATTTTTAAACTGTCTTTTCTTTTTACTGCTTTTTTCCACAGCAGATGATTCCTTCTTGAAGAACGCATTTTCTTCTTCTGTTTGAATAAGTGCCGTTTCGTACACTTCATCGTTGTGGATGTCTCTGATGGCTTTGTGCTCAAGTGTTGTCCCCAGTGTTTTCAGATTCCATTTCTGGAACCTTGGGAAAGCATCAGCAACGATTGGTTCAATGATATTTATCCTCTCGCACATCCAGAACTGAGGAAGCAAACTAGTGTTAGCAATCGACTATATGTTAGATATTAATATACTATTAAGACTATTTATATGTACTATTAAGATTACATTAATATACTATCTGGAGAAAATGGTACACTATGTTTTCAAATGAATATACGAGCATGCATATTTAGAACCGCGGGACAGTTATGTGCATTAACAAAATATTATTATGCAGAGTTGAGTATGAGTTAATGTATAGTCAATTATGTTGACATACCAACAATAGCGTTGTGCACCCACGGACTAATGATGGTTCTGTTGACTGCACATATTTCATCAGGAATTCGACAATGTACCCTGCCCAATTGTAATCAGAGAGTTTGAAGAGTTCATCACACAGCAGCACCATCCACCAGCTGACTTGGTCTCCGGAAGTTGCAAAAAAACAGGATGCAAGTACATGAAGTATGATGATACGAACCACATCCTCAACATCCTCGTCATCCCTACTATCTATGTATTCCATCATCTTAGGCTTTAACATCCCCAATCTTATTTTTTCTTCAACTCTAAATTTACGATTGTTTAGACCGAATTCTGGTTTTGTGCTTCTGGGAATATTTATGCTTCTTGCACCCGATTTGATTCCGAATATTAGATTGCAATCTTCCTCTGAGACATGTAATTCTTTTCCTCCAATCTTGAACACCTTGTCTGTTTTGTTCTATGTTTTCATATCAGGACTGTGCCGATTTGTGTCTATGTGACTTGCGAGATGGATATTTCATGCTTGGCAAACGGTAAAATCAGCCGGTAGAATGGCGTCTTTTTCAGGCATTTGTAATGCACTTTTCGCAGACTGACATTTGCAAAGAAGTCTACTGTTGAATGTAGGCTGGATCGGAATTGTCTAGTCCAGCTGCCTTGATCTAGTTCTTTTTGTGCCATTATGTCCGATTCGGCTGTAAATCATATAAAAGTGTGTATGTATCAGCCTCACAAACATGCAACAAATATCGATACATATATTAGCATAGTTCATTATGATAATGTACATACAGATTATTAGACTATGTAAATGAACAAACAGACTATAGTACATATCTAAATGCACATGTGAATACTGTTAAAGTTACATATGTAAATACAAGTTTAATATGACAGTAACGAAACATAATATATTTATATAAATGCACAACATACACATAAACCAATAGGTCATATCAGTAGACTGTATAAATACACTAGCATGCATATTTAGAATTGCAGTGCGGTTAAGACACTAACAATTTCAGCTAAACTAATGGTATATTACTACACATATATATACACTCAAACTATTACTTCATAACAACACAATTTTATATTAACATACTATCTTAGTGTAACACGCTATCATAATGCATACCACGCCGTCAGAATTTTTATAATATACTATCTCAGTATAATAACGAACTAACACAGTATGTAATATGATATAACAATGCAGAACAAGTTACCAGATTATTATAATATACTATCAGACTGTATTAACCAACTATCACATACATAATATCTAATCACATTGTATAATATGAATAAACCCATGAGGTTAATTATACTATGGTCAAACATGACGCTGTAAAAACACAAAATCGATTATTGATATCTTAATCGATTATATAACTATCTGATATGTAGAATTAGGGGAAATCACATATTACCCGCTTTTAGTAGCATAATGTCATCTGCCATTTTTTATACCTCGTCGCCTGCAACATAAGTAAATAAATCCTGAGTATCCAAAAAAAACAGACAAGATGACTACCACTTTGCAGTTAAACATAAAAATTGACATGGGTTACCACTTCTGGTGGATGTCCTGCCCATCGGCCGTTGCAACACCAAAGATTTAGGGCTCGATTTCGGTAGGCGATTCAGAAAATATTTGCAACTAAACCAACGTCACAGTCGATTAAGCAAAAACAGATCAACATATTGATGGGTGATGGCGTTTCAACAAGCGGCGAAGACGTACCAATGCCAGAGAGGTCGGAGTGCAGAAACGTCGATCCACCGTATAGCGTGCTATCTTCACCGTATATTTTTTCTGGTTTTTTTTTTTAGGTTGAAGAATTGGGTAGTGGGTTTTGTGGGGATAGTGTTTTAACGGGAAAATAGGGAGGGATTTGATATCATTTCAAAAGGTAAAATAACGTGATTTGTGGGATTTGATTGAGGGTACTGGTGGAATTTAGAAAAATATGGGTTTTTATCAAAATGACAAATTTGAGTTTGGGTCTACCCCTATTATTTGTAAGACTAATGGGTTATATCTAATGGACCCAAAAATAAATCCCCTAAATAATATCCCACATTTTCCTCCCCCAATTGATTGACAAACAAAATCTGACGACCGTTTCGGAAAATCCGAAATTGCAAATTCAACAGGTTTGCAAATTATAGCGCTTGCCATAGGTTTAGTCCTATAATCGTTTGCAATTTACAAATTTTCATTTGCTATTTGATCCGAGGAACCAGGTTGCCATTTTTTTCGTTTTGCTATTTGTGCCCTCCATAATCCGAGTCACGGCAGTGAAATAGTATATCTTGTTGCTCGCTCTCTGAAACACATTTCCGCACCAATAAATTACTGCATTGTCTAAAGAGAAAAGGTTTTCCCCAAAAAATAAAATTTCACATCATGCAAAAAATTTCTATCATGCAAAAAATTTCTCTTTTGATTAAAATTAAGATCGGGTGGAAGTACTTGGCTAACTAAATAGTTCATATAATCGGCAAACCAAGGTACTTCTCTATCAACAACAAGCAAGTGTTCATTAGGAGAGCTTTCCTTAACGCAAAAATTCGTTTTCATCCACTTAATTCTCAAGCCTAGATAAGTGATCGGCTATTTAATTTTCTTTACCCTTTCGATCACGAATTTCGTTGTCAAATACTTGTAACATTAAGATCCATCTAATAAGTCTAGGTTTTGCATCTTTTATTTCAAATATTTTTTAAGAGCAAAGTGATCAGTAAACACAATAGTCTTAGGGACCTAAAAGATAAGATCGAAACATTTCAAAGGCAAACATAATTTTTAGTAACTCTTTTTTCATAATGGTGTAATTCGATTGAGCATCATTAAAATTTTTACTAGCATAATAAATTGACCGAATTTTTTTTTTATCTCTTATAATAAATTGACCGAAATTTTTTATCTCTCCTTTGACCAAAGACAGCACCAACCGCATAATCACTAACATCACACATAAGCTCAAACGGTTCATCCCAATTTGGCACAAAAATAATAGGAGCTGACATTAACCTTTTCTTAAGCTCATTGAACGCTTGAAGACACTCACCGTCAAAATTGGACTTCCTCTCCTTCTCGAGTAGGTTGCATAATGTCGTGGAGATTTTTGAGAAAATTTTGATGAAACGCCGATAAAAGCCAGCATGCCCTAGAAAGCTCCGGATCTCTTTGACCAAAATTAGTGGCGGAAGTTGTTCAATTGTTGCGATCTTTGCTCTATCCACCTCCAAGCCTTCTCGAGACACCTTATGCCCAAGCACAATCACTTCGTGCACAATAGTTGCACTTCTCCCAATTTAACACCAAGTTGGTTTCTTCACACATGCGCAAAACCTTAGCTAGCATGTCGAGACAAGTTTCAATCGTATCAATGAAAAATGAAAAGTCATCCATAAATACTTCTAAGTCATTTTCCACCATATTGGTGAAAATAGCCATCATGCATCTTCGAAAAGTAGCAGCGTGATATGCCTAATTGGGTCAACCCAATGGGCCTACAATATCTTAACCTAGTGGGCCACGTCCCAACTTTCAATCCTACTACAACGAAGGCTCAATCACCTTCAGATAAGGTTCAGACCCGACATTCTCAATTAACCAACTCCAGCCCAATCAACGAGGTATAAAAAAATTGTTTTAATTCATTTGTTAAGGTACATTCAATATTCGAACAATACAACTACTTGTATTCTCTCTACGACTTTTGCTATCCACACGCCTAACGTGAGCATCGGAGGGGTTTCCGCCGAATCGACCCCCAGCTTAGTTTGCGTGTTCTCTGATCGCAGGTGTCTCAGGGTCATCAAGATCGTGAACCAATGACCCACTTTACTCTTCCAGCTCACCCTACTTCAACAACATCAGGTGATCCAACTCTAGCTTCTTCATAATGGTTTTCGTCTGTGGGAAGGCATACTAGATCACGTAGCACGCAAGATGCCCTTGAGACATCTGCTCAGGGGGAACATGACACTGCTAACAATCTCCCGCCTTGGCGAGGCTCTGGCTTACCGCTTCCCCCTCCCCGCATTTATGTTCCAACACAAGTCCCTCCCCATGAGCCCCCACTAGGGATTCAACAGGATCCACTTCTTCATGCTCCTCAAGCGGTTCAGATAACCGAGGAGGCCCTTCAACGTGCGCAAGATGACCTTGAGACATCAGCTCGAGGGGAGCGTGACATTGCTAAAAACCTCCCACCTCGTAGAAACTCTGGTTTGCCACTTCCTCATCCTCGTGATCGGGATCCACCACGAGACCCTAGTCGTGATGTCCCACTAGATCCTCAACATGATCAACTTCTTCCCGCTCATCGAATGGTTCAGATAACCGAGGAGGCCTTTCAACGTATATAGCTGAAACCTCTGCTCGTCACTGAAGCACGATACATCGCCACAGCCGGAGCCAACGCTCCTCATGCGGCTCCACCCATGGTAAAACCACCTCCACCAGCGCAGGATAACGACTGCCAAACAATTGTGTCGTCGGCATCTGCCTTAGACCCTAGGTCTCTGATGCAACAATCCACTCAACGCCAAGAGGCACGAACGGGGCAACAACAACCACGTTCACCTCCAAGAGGCAACGCCTATAGCCAGTAAGCTCCTCCACTCAATGATGGAGGGGATGAAATCAGTAGTCGGGTATCTCGCTCGAACCCCACTCCCCACTTAGGCAATCCAATTGGTGTAAAGGCAGTAGGTCCAGTAAGGCGCAGTCCCTTCACTGTCACCATACTCAGTGAGATGCTACCCCAAAGGGTAAAGGTCTCGGGTCTGCTGCAGTTCGATGGAACTAGTGACCCACATGAGCACCTTGAAAAGTTCTACGCCATGGCGGAACTATATGACCCTATTGATGCGGCGTTGTGAAAAAGGTTCCCGCTCTCCAAATGAGCCCTGAGCTTGTTCAACTCCTTGCCCAATGGGTCAAGTGAAGCTCTCTCCCAACTCTCGGATTGCTTCACTAACCAGTTCGCCATCAACAAAACGTACGCTAAGACTCCCGCGTACCTTTCACTATCGCCCAGAGAGATGGCGAAACCCTACGCAACTACATTCGACGATTTGTAGAGGCAGCTCATGATGTTCCTAACATGGGAGGAGGCATGCTCTCTGGAATTATTCAACAAAACTTAAAGCGAGGTAGATTCAAGGAATCTATCGCGGGAAGACCTCCAACAACTCTGGAGGAGTTATTAAGAGGAAAAGAGATGATGATCACTTCGACACCTGGCGACGAGATGACCGACAGCAGTCGTCGACAACTCTGGAACAATTTCCTTCCACGCCCGAGGACTTCCAATAATGTCAATGACACTTGGAGTCTTTCGAGCCCATAACAGAGTTAGTGATTGCATCATCCTAAATTGGGGGGCTATCCCACCCCAAGGATGGTGCACCCTCTCACCTCTCTACATCAATTGCGCCACCAGCCTCCACTCTTGTAGGCCCCTCACTGCGAGACAACTCCCACGAGGAGCAAAGCTGCTCGGAGCAGAGTTAGTGATCGCATCATCCTAAACTGGGGGGCTATCCACCCCAAGGATGGTGCACCCTCTCACCTCTCTACATCAATTGCGCCACCAGCCTCCACTCTTGTAGGCCCCTCACTGCGAGACAACTCCCACGAGGATCAAAGCCGCTCGGAGCTACAAGCGCAAGACCGATGTGGAAGAAGCACCTAAAATTTCTATTTAGTATAGATTTTGTTATTTTGAGTGATTCGCTCCCTACATGTTTATTTCCCTTTGCCTCAAGTAGGCTTGTAACATTCAAGCTTTCAATCAACGAATAAAACAAGTTCTTCTTCTTATTCTCACCGTTGTTACTGTTTCACTACACGATTATCAGCTCAAGTTAACATTACTAGAACCCTGGAAACACTTAGAGATATTATGGTGATCTATATAGCCTCGATAGCTTGAATGCCTAAATTTCTTTACTTGTTTGTAACGGGTCCTTGATTTAAAACGTGGCCACGGTCCTAACATACTTACGATACCCATGAAAAAAAAACCCCGAGAGACTGATTCCCTCATAAGTACATCACGCACAAGGCTAAATGTAAACACATACAAGCAACGCGTCAAACCATTGACAATGTCAAACAATATAAACCTCAAACTAAAAAATAGTGGGCATACCAATCTACTCCAAGTATGAAGATAAATTAAGTACTCTGCCCACATACAAGGGGAACATATATCCTACCAAGTACCAATAGTGGGATTATCATCTACCTCAACATCATTCACTAGATCGGTGCCCGCATCATCGGCATCCTCTACTTCTTCTCCCTCATTAGAAATGCCCGGCTCCATCCATCAGATGATGTTCTCATTGATCCCACCTGCGTCGCGAAGATACGGGCGAGACAACTCCCATGAGGAGATAACACGCCCAACATCCCTATCCCACGGCGAAACAACTCCCACGAGGAGACAACTTGCTCAGACCCCTCGTAGTCGCTCGATGAACTCAACTTGAGTGACTCGTCGCTCCCAAAATCTACGACTTGGCGTCCAAAACGCCGTTTAGTAGTGCCAACCTCGTTGGTAGTATCAAGAAGACCCACATTTGGTCCCAAGTGTGCAGACCACGTATCTCGCTCGCGTCGCGCCGCGGGCTCGCTCCCTATCGCGCGTCATGCGCTCCCCTCAAACAAATAAAAATAAATAAAAAGGGGAATAATAATATATTATTATTATTCTACGACAACGACTATCTATTCTCGACACGATCCGGCACCCCTTCCAACTCGAGAGTGGAGGACTTAATGATATGCCTAATTAGGCCAATCCAATGTGCCTACAATTTCTTAACCTACTGGGCCACGAGCCCAAGTTTGAAGCCCACTACAACGAAGGCCCAATCGCCTTAAGATAAGGTTTGGACCCGACAATCTCAATAAACCAGCTCAAGCCCAATCGACGAGGCATAAATAAATGTTCTAACTCATTTTTTAAGATACGTTCAATATTACAGCTGCTCGTATTCTCTCTACGACTTTTGCTATCAACACGCCTGACTTTAGCGTCGGAGGGGTTTCTGCCAGATCGACCCCCGACTTGGTTTACGTGTTCTCTGATCGCATGTGTCTCAGGATCATCAAGCTCGTGAGCCAGTGATCCACTTTTCTCTTCCAGCTTGTCCTACTTCAACTACATCAAGTGATCTAATTCTAGCATCATCACAGCGCATTACATAAACCAAAAGGCATGCGTCTAAATACAAAAGTGCCATAAGGGCAAGTGAACGTGGTTTTGTGTTGATCATCCGGTGCTATAGAAATTTGGTTATACCCCGAGTACCCAGCTAAAAAACAATAAAATTCCTTACCCGCCAGCATAGAAAGCATTTGATCAATAAAGGGTAAGGGAAAATGGTCTTTTCTAGTGGCTTTATTTAATTTCATATATTCCATGAAAATTCGCTAACCTATTGTGATCTTAGATGGAATTAATTAACTATTTGCATTACAAGTAACCGCCATATCCCCTTTCTTAGGAAAAAATTGAATCGAACTTACCCATGCACTATAATAAATAGGATAAATAATACCTGTATCGAGCCACTTGAGAATTTCTTTCTTGACTATCTCTTTCATGATGGGGTTCAGACGTCTTTGCGGCTCCATCAATGGCCTTTGCTGATCCTCCAAGATGATTTTTTTGGGCATACAAAACAAAGGGCTTATTCCCTTGATATCAGCAATTGTCCACTCAAGCGTCAACTGGTGCTCCCGAAGCACATCCAAAAGCCTTTGTTCCTGTAAATTAGAGAGAGCGTGTGAAATAATTACCAGCAAAATCTCATTCTTATCAGGATATGCATATTTCAGATGCGGTGGCAATTATTTCAACTCAAGCTTGGGCGGCTCCTTCAACGATGTTTTGAATGCCTTGGGTGTGGTAAGAGTAGTTGAATCCAACCTCTCAAATTCTGGTTGAGCAAGAATGTCTGCGGAATCCAACTAACACACTTGATCCTCCACTCTCTCATCTCCACAACTATCTCCTGCAACCAAAGATGCTTCCAAAAAATCCAAGAGTAAAGAATCACAATTCAAAAGAAAAAGAATCTAAAATATCAATAGAAAAACATTCATTTGAATCATGTGGACGCCTAATTCCACTAAAAACATTAGATCGAATTGTTTGGTCATGCACAGTAATAGTAAGATACCATGGCTCATTCAATGATAGTTCGAGAGGTAGCTAAAAATGGTATTTCCAAAATAGTAAGTGTCTCCCTATCCTCATCCATATCAAGTATAACAAAATCAACAGAAAGAATAACTTTATGAACTTTCACAAGCACATCCTCTAAAATACAATTTGAGTAAAGTAACGATCTATCGGCTAATTGAAGTTATAATCGTCGGTTCAATTTCTCCTAACCCAAGACTCTCATAAGTAAAATAAGGTATAAGATTAATGTAAGTTCCTAAAATCAATGCGTGATCAAAAAATTTATCTTTTCTAGTACAAGGGATAGTGAACTTACCTGGATCCCGAGTTTTTGTGGGAGGGGCCGTGTAAGAATTGTTGGGATCGGGCATGTGTATGCATAGGAAAACAAAAATTTTATATGAAAAACGAATTTAATCATATAAACACGTACTCGATAATAGCAATTAATTGCGTACCTCAGTGCTTCCAGCGAAAATTAAAAACAACATGCATATTATTGATTCGCTAATTAAATCACATGTCATGGTCACAGTAAATCACAAATCAAATCACGAATCATGCATGGATAATTACACAACAACATTCATGAAAGACATAATGCATATATAAACATTAATTTAATCTTATTAAATTAACACCTATTAATCAAATCCGAAAATTACCTCTTGAAGCATGAGGCGAAGTTTCGGATTGATGCAAACTGCCACGAAAACCAATCCTTGCAGTCGGGAGGAGCGGCGACAACGAACACGAGGGTAGCGGCGGCGGGTGCAGTTCACGCGCTGTCTTCGCGTGGCGCGTGAGGGCGCGTGCGGTGCTGGTTCAGCGAGGGCTTCTAGGCAATTTGTCTTCCTTCTCTCGGCTTTCACCTCGTATACCGAGTTCAACTAGTACGTGGCACTAGATACGCAAAAGTCTGACTAAACGAAAGAATAAAATAAAGAAAAGAGTACCAAGAACAAACGGCGCGTGGGGCGCCGATTTCCGGCGACGGTGGCGACGGCGGCGACGGCGGACCGATGGAGGTGGCAGCAGACTAGGGTTTGTCACTTGTGTACAAGACCTATAAATCTTGTATTTATAGTGTCTTGTATATAAGACCTAACGGGCTTACGTTAGACCGGGCCCAACAACTTAAGTTTGATAGTTTTTCTTCGCTCGTTTCTCATAAACCAATGATCAGAAAATTATAACAATTACATTTTTGGAATCATTGAAACGTCCTCGTCATTACAAATGCCAATTCTCGATTTTCAATTTCTAAAACTAGAAACCCTAATTCAGTGGACCTGCTAAATTTGGAAACTTCCCAATTTAGAAAATTCACAAACATAATCGCCTAGTTCTTTCCTTTTCTTATTCACTTTCATAATTCCCAATTATGAATGTTGGACTTAATCGTATTGA